ATATTGCAGAAATGCTAACATCCACGACATAAACTCGCTAGCTTTTGGCGAGCGCGACATAGCACGGCAACGACGCGAGCGACGAACATAGCAAAGACGCGCCCGCCAAAACCAGGATCGCCGCCATCATGACTGAGTTCGTTCAGCACTGCTATTACATGTATGGGTATTTAATTGGGTATCTGTTATGTGACAGAGGGTGAGGCTCAAACACAGCATAATTTGGAACTCGTACTCACTGTATTTGCCTGTATTCTTGTTCCTTTTGCCTTTACCCATATTCAGAGTACTGCCGAGACCGTTGAGTGAGCGCTGTTCGACACACGCACAAATAGACACGAGCACGACGTTGGGATTCCCCCAACTAACGATGGTCACAAACAGCTGACAGATTACCGCCACGAAGAGCTCATCAAGAACAAGTCCTATAGGCGTTAAGCTTTGAGTTCACCGTGGGGAGACAAGTTGCACTACTCACAAACTTCTTCTGCTGACCAACGGAGGACGCTACGGCAACGGTGAGCTGGTCACGGACGCAATACCACATGGCTGAGGGCGGACTGATTTTAATATGGCCGAGGAGCAGCGAAGTGCCACCGGGCCTGTACCACAAAACGTACCACAGGTCATTAACGCAGAAAGGGCAACCGTATCAGCTCAGTAAGAAACACCAACGAGTCGAATGTACCACATTGCAACGACCCGCCAAGGATTAAATGTTGGTAAGCGCAAGCGAGTTTAAAATTTGAAATTTTGTGCCAAATTTTGAGCTGACATTGAATTCATTTTTTAAAAGGCTATAGGCGACAACACAGATTAGTAAATTATCTTCGGCAGCCTAAGCTTTAGTATTAAACAGACTGAACCTAAAAAGTTCCTAAAGTTACTTTTTAGTTTATACCACCTGCAGTTGGTTATTTAGCAGAATGAATAACTTAAGTTGAAACATACATATATATTTATTAGCTTAAGCGGTCAATTTATGTGAACTAATTTCATTCACTGCTTTGCGAAGGCGCAAACCTTATTAATATACTCATGTATCAATAACGTTGATGATAGTATATGTTTATATCTTTTCCTTTAGGTAATATATGGATTGACGATTTTTATATCATGCTTTTATGATTATGACTGTATATTAGATTCTCTCTGTCCCTCTCTCTATATATATATATACATATATATATAGTCTTTAGTCGCTTCGTGTGACAGGATACATATAAAGTCGGCACACAATAACTAAAATAGCCAGCGATTATAAATAAAATTTCGTGAATCTACCTTAGATTTAAACGAGGTGTTAATGTTTACATCATTTATTATTAGAATATATATACCATTTATGATAATGATATTAATCTCGGAACTATTGCTTTTATATGAATTGTCATTTACTCATTCGTGTGAGTACATTTTGATATGTTGCCGCTTTTACTATATTCTTCTCTGGTTTGATTATTGAAGTAAAAATGTATGTTTGTAAATCTTGAGTAAAATTCAGAGAGGCCCAATTGGTTACAGTGCATTTGCAAAAACAGAATCAAGAATTATATATAACGTCTATCCGGGTGACGATCTGCTTATATAGTGGATATTAGCACCGCGCAAACCTTTCACTGTATTTGTTCAAACGCCCGCAAAAAAAGATGGAGGAATGCTCTTTGCCTATCTATGAAAGCACAGAAAACAGTATTTTTTACGGAATCATGACTTTCTAAAAACAGTGGAATACCCGATAACTTCAAAAAAGTATCAAGCAAATTTTTAAAAATACAGTTTAAAAAAAATAAAGGTATAAGTAAAGTATTAAAAAAATTACTTTAAGGTATTAAAAAAAATAGATCCTTATACAAAAAATACGTACCTACTTTATTACCAAAACGCTTTTTATGTGTCGAGATCCGATCTACCGCTCTATCATCTGAGGTAGTCACCTGCTATATTACCTTTTTTTTTTTTTTTTTTGGATATGGTTTATTTCTTGCCGAACAATCTGACAGAAAACTGTTTAATCGCCTAAACAAGTTAACTGGGTAACTGCAAGGACCCATACATCCGCAGTACATCGGCGTGACATCGAGCGATGTCAGTCGACAACACAGATTGCGAAATTGTCCAGAAACTTGAAACACCTTAAAAAGCGTCTAAATAAAATATCTTATTCGAGTTTTATTCTGCACAAGGCCCTGCACAACCAACCTTCTCTGACCAAACAAGCACTTCCACGCTGAGTATAGCGTCGTGTAACGATGATCGGCTTCCAGCCAGTGCCTTAAGATCACACGACTGGATTCGATCTCACTAGTGGCTTTGCTGAGAATACCTATCTAGCCCAGACCCTAGATTATGAAAAAGGAAATTTTACTACAATCAAATCCCTCCTAAACCAACAAGAGTGACGCTTGTTCTTCGAGAATTTTTAAAATTATTCATATATAATCAACCAGTAGCATACCTGCAGGACCTAACTGAGGAAGTTTCCACTGGTGAAAAGAACTCACATGCTTGCCAATTCTGGGCAGACCACGATGTTGCATCAGGCCCCTATGCAGAGACCAAAAAACGAGAATGTAATTCTGTTTCTCCAAAGGGAAATCGGTTGGGTAACGAAAAGGCGACGCGTTGCAGACGTCAAAAGTGGACTACGTTTAGGAGAGCATGGTAGTAAAGGACTCTCTGAGTGTCATTATGCAGGCTACTGTGATGGGCTTCTCGAAGATCGCTCGATGAGAGAGGTATACCAGATATTTTTGGGAAAAATATCTGGGGGCCCTGTCCAAAAAAAGGGGATTAAAGGCAGACTCCTCTATTACACCGCTAATACCGTTAGTCTTTATGCCATAGAAAACACTCGTAGCTCAATTCACATACAAAAACATCAGCGCAGATGGACTGATATGGGATGCATAATTTGTTTTCGGACTGAGATATAGTAAAAAGTTCCACCCATAGCATATTCGATTCGACTGGGCAGCTGATTGATACAAGGTTCAGTGCTTGGACGCTATAGACTTCAAATCTGCCCCAAAATGCGTTGCGAACTTGAAGCTGCATGTTCTTCTTCCGCGATTTAAAGTATAAAACCTTCTTGTAGCTTAATTCGAAGCCTTCCTCAGTAATAAAACTTTTCAAGTTCGTGATAGTCAGTATTCTGAGAACACTAGTCGAAGGCTTGTATGCCTTGTTTATACTGGGCGACTTGATAAGCACGTTGAATATAAATTCCCTAGTGTATACACTATCGCTATCACTATCGTACGTGTCGTAAAAATATACGGATCTCTTAATAACTCACAAGGGAAGTCTATTATGCAGCAGAACTCGCTGATCTCTTATGAGTGGACAGAAAGGCTTAGGTCAAAAATTGTGCATCAAAAACCGCGCTGTTTTACATTTCGTAAACAAAGACACAAGGATATAGGTGGCGTAAATCTTAGGCCGCAGAATGCAAGATCCACGAATCGTCTCGTCTACCTCTTTAATATATTCAGAGCAGACCTATGCCTAGCATAGCGTAACATTCCGACTTGATTCTACGATTTTTGTTGATAAGGGATTCCACGCCATTTATGTATTAAACTGTTTCGTATATGCATATGAAACAGTTTAATGCATAAATGGCGTGGAATCTGGGCCGAACCAAAAATAGGGCGCTTCTAGAATACGTCCTGAATACATTAACACATAAGTGCCAATGTAATAGAAATCTAGTCAAAATTACATTATCTGTAATCGAAAAGTTATCTAACTTTTTCTAACAAAACTGTAAGAAATGCTTTCGAAATATTCATAGTAGTATTTTGTAGCAAAGCAATATGTAAAGGACCATTTGTCACAGAGGCGATCGCATATACATATTGAGTTTTATTTTGTGAACTTATACAACCTAAGAATGGCAATCCTAATAAAGCCCAAATAAAAATTTCTTTACAAAGTGTCCTTATATATGCTGTTCGAAGATTAGTATAGATCTATAGTGGCCTAATTCTTACTTGGATCCCAAAGATTTAATGTTTCAAGTGTGTACGTGTTATCACAACGCCTAAATAAGAATACGAAAACAAACACCACGCGGGCTTACTTCATTTAGAAACAAGAGTTGATTACATCTGCTTCATAACATAGTAGGTATGATAGTTTGTGGAAATAAGTTAACGCTGATTTCGATATGCCTCAGTGTCTTTTTTGTTTTTAGAGCAGAAACGTACCGATCATCTTTTGTCATGACGCTCAAACGTCGGCGGCGCCTTCATTCGATAATTTCAACCTTCCTCTGCAAAGGTGCGTATAGATAAAATAATGAGGTGCGCATTTTATCAAAATACAATAAAATTTATTGAGAATTGCGACTTCTATATTGAAACTTTGACATACTTAGAATGAATAAAGTGGCGTAATAAGCCCGGTCTTTATTAGTCGGAAGTAAAATAAAAACGAGTAAGGCATATCAACCAAGGCTATAACTGTAGCTCAACTAAGTATTTGTCAGTTCCGTCACATATTATTAAGTTGAACATTCTTCTATCTGCTGCTATTAATGTTGTCATATTATGTATTTACTTTAGTAAAGAAGTTTCGTATTTGAAGACGAGGCCACTAATTTTACAATCAGTAAATTTACCAAATCACTCTATTTGAAGTAAAGGCTTGTAACCGTGGTGAATAGGGGATCAATAAACGAAATGTCGCCTTTGGTCAAATGTCGCATATGATATAATTGATAACCTTTTTGTCTTTTTTCGGTGTTCAACTTTGTTGCTGTTGTTACCGCTGCCGTCACTTTCTCGTCCGACTAATTGAATCCAAAAAATAATGCGCCATTTTACAAAAATATTAGTCTATCTATCTATATATATATATATATTATCAAATGAATAACATTCTCGAAATAAAAAGAAGGTACGATAAAAACGACAAATTGATTAAACAAAGTATACAAGGTAAAACCCGTCTAAAAATCTATAGCTACTGAACAACTGTTACGCATGACCATTAACGACGAGCTTTTAAAAAGACTAAAAGGTCCTAAAAGAAAGTAACCGAATGTGGCTAACTTAATCAATAAAAATAGTTTTGTATTTAGTTCTTTTTTTTTTTAATCTCAGATGGCTTTTTAAAGTGTACATGCATGTTAAATCGCAAAGATCTTTCGCTAGAAAGTCTTTCGCATTTAATTTTTAAACAAATAGAAACAATTCAAACAAATTCCTTTAAAACCAAATACAAGCTCCGAGAGTTACGATAATATAACCATATCATGAAAACGGCACATTCATGGATAACAAAGATAATATGATCTGTCAAAAGTTAAATTAGAAATATTTGGTTAAAGAAGGCGACTTTATTGGTAGATGCTGTTTTAAGTTCCTGTATGTCAATAGTAATGTATTGGTAAATTTGTTAACAAAACTTGGCAACACGTGAGGTGGTTTCAATTAGAGGGCGGGTATGAAAGCACCTTGGTGAATGCCGAGACTAGCCGTCGGCGGCGGCAGCACTGTTCAACGGTAGCGTCGGACGTAAAACTGGAAACGTGTAAGTAGCTCTGGGTCAATGGAGTGTGCTTCTAATCATTTAGTGAAATAAAAGGATTTTCCGGTCGAGTAGAAACGTTTCTTGTACTTGATCATCCATCTATGGCCTATCATCATCATAAAGAAGGAAAATAGATGTATATTTATAGACGGTGATACGTACTATCGCTTACCGGCGTCTTTTCGCTAACCACCCATCTGCGGAGCGGTATAGTTCTACAATATAAGCAATCAGTCCATGAAAACGCTTTATCAAAGTGCCTGCCAGCGTCATGTTCTTCTGTGTGTTAGTCTACGATACACGTTAACTAAAAGAGATGATCGGTAAAATATCGTCTACGGCCTTATTGATAACGAAATGTTACATTACAAAATTTGCATTTCGAACAAGCTTGACTTTGGTGAATCGTTTTTTCTGGAACAAATCCACACCACTATCATGATAAGAGCACCAGAGTTATCTTCTAAATATAAGTGGCCATTATCCAATTTTTTCACGCTGGAATTATATATTTAAACGATAATCAAGCTATAGAAGCTGCAGGCCATGCCATTGCCGATCATCACGCAGATTCGAAAGAATTCTGTATTTTCGCTAAATCAGATTTACCAAACAAGCAAAAAACTTATTTCAGATGATCTTTAATTTTAAAAGCAAAAATTAACACCTGTGTTAGAAATGAGACTGTCTACTGATTTACCAAATATTTCAATTTTTACGTTCAATGATCGTGCTGAGCGTTACTTCACATAACCGACTATTCTGGCAAACGAAATAGGTCTTCGCCTGGTTTCGAACCTAGACCGCTTCACCTGTTTGTAAATCTAATGGGAGGACTATACCATCACAGATAAATAACTTCTGTATTTACTCATTTCATGCAGCATGTGCCATTGGAGTAACTTATTGCAACGATCCTTGGTCCTTGCGACAGATTGATTTCATTTGTTGAAATACTTCCTTTTAAACTCGATTTTCTCAACACAATCTGTGTAAAGCATACGCTACTGTATTTTTGACAAACGTCACAAACACAGAACATATATATATATATATATATATATATATATATAAACCTGTTTCAAAAGAGCTGATTTGTTTTTACATTATCTATAGAATGTGCGTCGACTTTCCAACCAGATCTAGTTCGGCTATAGGAGCTATACCTTTAAATCGAACCTGTAAGGATGACATGGGGCAATTAAATGGCAAGTATACAGTTGCTCTAAACGTGACTGCCGAGTAGAAAAGCGCAGCCGAAAGTTCGCTTTCTGACCCGATGTTGAGTTAGTATTATACAGCATTTACATTTTATTCGTCGTCTCAATATTTAAGCAGTTTGTTATGATCAAAACAGTAGATAATAAATACGGCCAACAACAACGTCTTTTTCAATTGATCGTTCGTAGTTCAATACGCCGATCGTTAGTCTAGCAACAACACTTATAAACAACTGTGGCGTACCTATCTTTGACAATCAGATTAGGTTTTTCTAAGACACAAGGTTCCGCCAATGCCAAGATTAATCATTTCAATAAAAATTATCGGCAAGACTTCTCTTTACCGAACCTATTCCACACGCAGCACATTTTTTTTTAGTGCTTATTCCCTAAAGGTTAAGAGCTGTTGAACACCTTTTCAGCCGGCTTCTATTGACGCTGTAGTGCAAGCAGTCCAAGTCTGCTCCATCAAATAGTTGATTGAATTCGTGTAACAGAAAGAGAGATGGCGGAGCAAGTATATCTGATGAAATTACACGGATAGTCCGCGTTGTCGTCCTTCTCGCCGTTGAACTTTCTGACTTATTTAAATGGAAACCGCCGCGCCCAGAAGCTACTTTTATGCGCAAGTTGTCACTTCGCCAGCTCAAAGGCAGGAAACGTGCCTGACACGGCGTATCCGAATCCGTCGAAGAAAAGGGGATACAAGCTACCGATGGGCGGTCATATACCCTTCGAATGGTCCCTATAAATTGGCTCATGCAAATGTATAGTGATATGGTATGTAATTATATGAGAACAACGTTAATAATATGAATGAATCTGCAATGTATCAGCAAACTATCAGGTCACTGAAAATTACCATAACAATCTCGCAAAGTAAAAATTGTCTAAATTCACTGTTGCATTGGCAAGGCTAATAACTTCTCAGTTAAGGCATCGTGTATGGCCTGCGTGACAATTTCTATTCGACGATGAATTTGTATCACAATTGCGATAACAATAATAGTAATAACCCTATTACCGGTTGTCATGCGTTTCTCTGCATGGTTTTATCATGCGCTGTAAGATTTCGATCTAGGATAAATCTTATATTACCTTGTGAGAAAAATACGTCGTAAGTCTTACTGTTGGAGATCGCGCGGAGCAAAAAAAACATTTGATCGTCTCCTTTTGTTTGTCCATGTCTGGATTTTGTCAATGTAACAAGCCTGAACGATTTTCCGTCTGCTTGGAAGAAGTGAGCTAGCTAGATGCGGTAACGGTAAGGGATATTCGGCCACTTAGTTATGGCGCCAACAATGTAAACAAAACCGACTGATGACTAAATAAGACGGCTGATAACTGAATAGCAAACAAATGGTGACATCTGTTGAACTAGTTGTGCACAGCATGTCCAACTATCATCACGGGTTACTCGAAAATAACAAATTTTCCTCGCCTTTTGGACGGAAAAGAACCAAAAAGGAAGGATTACATGTTTACGCAGTGTAAACGCCTTGAAGAGATCGGACCGAATCCCGCTTCACTCATAGATGATCCGAATACCAGTAAAAGTTGCTCACCACCATACAATGCAATGGATTATACCTATTTCTAAATGGGTTTGAAATATTTTGAAGGTCCTCATGTGCTTCTTCAGTAACCAGCTAGCTTTATTCGAGGCTTTGATGCCATTGCAATACAGGAATTGGATTTTTATAAGAAACGCATTGCTGTTTTACTATTTGTTATTATTAATTAATAAATAATGTTCCATTATTTATTATTATCATCGAACTATGAATTTTGGGGGCCATATGTTAAGAACCACATCGATGCCACTTTTTCGAAATCCAGATTTACCGAACGAGTACGAATTCAATGTGATACATTTCTACGCTATCTATACATACACTGGTATCAATCGGAAGATTCGCAAAGTTGTCAGACCATATTATCATTAGTAAAGACCGCCAAAGCAGAAAAGATAGTAAATATCGAATTTTGTAAGTAATTTATATAAGTAATAATTTACCATGGCTGTCTCAGATTAACAATATTATACAGATGAATAATAAGAACATGTCATATAGTTTCTACAATGATTGGTGTTTAGTAGCTGATATTACTGCCTGTAATAACAGTAATATAAGAGGCACAAAGTATTCATAATATAGTTATTCATGTAAAAGTAGTAGGTTTTGAAGTGTAACTATTTTTCCTAATATTATTTAAAGCACATAATTACTCTATGTAATAACTGTATGTTGAATTGGTAAAAAAAACAATTCAGACGCCGCGTATTTAAATGGTCACATAAAACAGATCACTTTCATAACATCGTAATTTTTTTTCTCTTTTTATATATAACGTAGTTACAAGGCAGAGTGAAGCCGTACTCCAGCTGTATTTGTTTAGCATCCTCTAATTCGTTGACACGACGACGAACTCTACCAGGCGAGATAAATAATGTACGCCTGCATTAAGAAAAGAATGTATAGAATTCTATTTCTGTCACACACACACATACACACACACACACACACACACACGTATGAAAGTTAACTTGAATATCCCTTCGTTTTTCTCTGACGCTACACTTGTAGCACGTTAAGATGACTACCATTTTGATACACGACTATTCTACGTGATTATCATACACATAGTGATGTCTAACAAAAACTATTCTTCCCTCAAGTTCGATTACCTACTGTGATCAATATGTTTTCTGTCAGTGATCGCTAAACAATCTGTATAGCGACTTTTAACTATTTAGAATACACGATAAAAACCAGTAATAGTTCTCTACTGTAATTTCATGATTGATTTTAATCTGCAATGTGTAAATTTCAGCTAACTGAAAGCCTATAAGATCGATTCTCTGTTTTTACAAATTTCTGTATGCTTAGAAATCTCGATAACGTTTCACTCGATCACCGTCGTATACTATGCAGTTAGTATTTATTTATTTAGACCAGCTTATTTTAAATGTAATTATTTAGAGTTTAACGTACGGTATTATTTATATATACTGCACGTGATACGCTTTATGCGGCAGGTTGCCGGCATGAAATGTAGCATAACACAGATCAAAATAAAGATAAATGAGAGGCTACATTTATCTCGCTGGCCGTAAATCGTGGACATAATAGTAAACATCTCCCCCACTTAATTAAGTGTGTCTCATCACAACCGTTTTAAAACTTTAATCGTAGGTTTTGGCTGGAAATGTATAGAGACATCACCTGATTCAGCTTGCGTTCGCTGACGTAGTCCAGATCTTTCAAACTGTTATTATAACGAGATTCGTTTATTAGCTTAATATTGTGTCATCATGATCTCTCGTATTTCGATAAATTCATAGATTAACGGTTACTATGGCAAGGCAAGAAGGAGGGCTGGTGCTACCGCTGGCACATTTTATCTACCACTTACCCTTGCCTCTAGCTCTCCTTGCCCAAGTGTAAGCACCGACTACGGTCGCCTCTTTATCTGTCTAACCGTTCATTATGGAAGCAAATGGCTTCGACGGCAGACAAGACTGCCTGTGTTGCACCAGCCTACTATGGCGTGCCGTAGCGCACCCAGAGCTAGCTAGGCAAGCCGGCCATAGTTATAGTTGCAATGGCAAGGGTTGGCTATTAATCCCAGCCCGTTGCGTTGCTTACTTGCTATCGTTATTACCCTAGTCATCCTTTCCCTATATAGGCTTTGCTGCTCATTCAGGCAGCGGATTACTGTAGGAAGGCGAGAGTTGGTGACAAATCAGCAACTCTTTGGTCTACTTGCAAGGCAGGCACATGTTTTTTTTCTAATAATTACGCGATCGCAGTACGCTGCTTGTTTGCACTAACGACATATGACTGTAAGGCTACAAGAGATGTGTAGAGACCCACGTATTCAGTAGTACGTAAAAACTGTCATCCTTGGAAGCTGCACTCGACAAGTTTTTTGTTATTAGTAATTCTAACGATGGTATTAATGATAGCATAAGCAGCAGCAGCAGCAGCAGCAACAGCAGCAGCAGCAACAGCAGCAGCAGCAGCACAATATCATATAACACGAACTTTGAGGATACGAGGAACGAGGGGAGAATCCTGTTGAATGCTGAGAGCAGCTGTCGATATTTGCACACAATACGCGAACGGCAGTAACGACGATGATAGCAGTAAGAATGAACGTCGCCCTGAAGGGCTGCCGTTCATGGCAACGGCTTTTATTTAAAGGCTATAAGACACGTACATGCGATCTTCACAAGCAGTTAAGCGCTTCCATGAAATGCATCGACGAAGGTGAAAACGGATAGCGATCAAAGCTATGACTATTACAATGAACGGGCCGATTCGTATCGGTCATCAGTCGATTAACGCTGGCTAGAAATACAAGTGCTGAAGGCGAGATTTCGCCATTAGATGGGAAGGTAAGAGTCACTAGCGGTGTTAAAAAGAAATGTTGCTATCGAGAAGTTAGAAATCGAGTAGCGGCTACACAGTGAGCATTGCACTTTTTTTTTTACTCATATAAGAAATGAATAAACACTTACCAGGCATGACTGTATTGCCTGCGGTGCCTTGAATCAACCAAATACAACTCCAAGTATCTTAACACACTTACCATTTATGTGCAAACCTTTTTCGTTGGTGTTTGTCCTTTGATGCCTTCTTCGACCTTAGGTTAGGTTGAGCAACGGTGGCTTACTTCAAATTGTCTAAAACAGTTAAACGGGCTTCAGTCGAAGACAGCACTTCACAATACAATAGTAATAACAATTCGATATTCTGAATCAATTAAGCTTTTGTCTGTATGTCGTGCCGATTAGCTCAAAAGGGTCGCTTCTTTAAACTCCGCATGTAAACAGAGCGTGACTGAACCACGTTGCGGTACATGCTTAGAAATAATTTTTTTAATGCTAAAACGCACCAAAGCGATATTATAGCTACATCGGCTAGAGGCTCAACACACGGGAGAAAGAGTCCTGCTACAAGGTTACAGAATGACCAGATAATGACTGCGGAATATCTGAACCAAAATAACTGCAGAGCCGACGTAAAGTGTCGAAGTTATGAGTCGTAAAGTAAAGCAAGAAAATATACTATTGTAACAGAGCAGTGGAAACACAGCAAAGAAATGAGTGATTCAAACGATGCAACATTGGCTCTGATGGAATAAGAAGGGAGCAAAACAAGACGGGGTGAGAGAGATCAACAACAACAATTTCTGAGGGGGAGTTTGATTAGTAGCCCAGCTGTGTTTTCGACTGTATTTTTTTACACAGCGCTTCTTCGATGCTCCTTCAGAAGATAAATGGCGCTTGCTATAGTCCTTGTTTAGTTTCTAATCTTCTCTTTCCTCTGCATCTTCCCTAGATCGGCAACAGCAGTAGTAGCTCAGCGCTGATCAACATATTGGTAAGTGTGCGGTTTCTCCAACGGTGTTGACGAGACTCGAGCCGGCAGCGACGTGACGCCAGGTGCCCCCACACGGATGAATGCTAAGACGGCATTAGATTATATCCTCTTGTCCGAAACGATGCCAAGCGGCAGTAGCAGGCGTAGAACTAGAAAAAATTGTTAGGTTATGGTTTCGTAGACCGCTTGCCGCGCCACCATCCAACAGTGATTATGCATGGTCGTTAGCTTTTGCCTGATTCTGCTGCTGCTGCTGCTGTCGGCGATTATTCCAATGCTGTGATGGCTGCAGCACCGCTTCTGTTAAACGATGTTCCAACGGCCATCGCGTTGCAGTCAACGAGACGTTCTAATCCTGGGGGAAAAAAGGGTTTCGTGCGTGTATGTTTTGGGCGTTATGAAAACGTGCACTATACACAGTTGTGTCAACGACGGTGGTTCACTACAACTCTGCTTCAACTAGCTGGTCATTCCGACATTATTGTCCATCATTACGATAAGAGAAATTAATCTCTGAAAGAACAAGTGATTCATGCCAATGGTTCGGCCACCGTTTGCAAAATCGGTCGGTCGGTCAAAAGACCGAAAGAGCAACCTCTAAACACCACCAACGGTAACAAAAGTCGCGCACAGCTAATAATGACGAAGCGGTAACTGCCGCTGAGCGGACGCGACTTACTCGTATGACCCTTTTAACCACTACCCAGTGATCATACGTATTAGGTTGTCGAAAAGGTATTGAGCGTCTCTCTGGCTAGATCATTTTAAAGTCACGTATCTCATGTAATACGAACCGCGTCGGGTCCACATTGAGTTGGTGTCATCTCAAAACTGGCATTTGCCAGTGGTGCAAGGGCCAATATTGTTGGAACGCCTTTACTGAGGCTTAAGATAGAGCGCCTTAAAGATGGGTGAAATTTCTGCAAGGATTAGGTTTTATTACGATAAAGGTACGGATTCTGTCGAGGCCCATAAAAAATTACTCGTTTTATGGTTAAAATGCATTGTCGGAAAAAATGGCCCGAAGATGTTCGGGTCGTGTTCATTAGAAAAGAAATTCTTGTACTAGTCGACCAGTTACAAAAAGGTCGTTGAAATTGATTATTGTCGAGCAAAGTCGACACGTATGTAGCCGTAGTTTGAGGGTGTGAATCATATATGACAAAATTGCGCAAATAAAAAAATAGTGCTCCGTGACAGAGGTCCACACTGAAAAGAAATGTCATGCCATCCACTATGACAGTACCAGGGCTATACATATTTTAGCTACCGGATAAAAGTGGAAAGAACTTAAATGGTCAATTTTGATGCATCCGCCGTATAACACGGATCCTGCACCGTCAGACTATTATCATCTGCTTCGGTCCCTGCAGAACTTCCTTAACGATGTCCATTTAGTCTCAACGGAGGGATGCGAAAATGGTTTCATGCTATTTTCGGCCCTGAAATTACAGAAGTTCTTCAGTGATAAGATAATGATGTTATCAGGAATTCAGAAAAAGGTCATCGATTAAAATAAAGTGTATTCGACCTACTAATTATATTTTCGAAATATGAACAATTTTTCTTGACAACGTCAGTACCTTTTTGATATATATATATATATATAACACTAAAAGTTACGTTCGATCCAGGAATACCGCTTAGGGTGCACATATTGGGCTGCTTTTTCTCTAACTTTTTATTCTGATGGAAGTTGTGCCAAAGATGGAATAGATCGAGCAAATGCTCTTGTCCCTAGAAAACAAACGTCACTTCTATTCATAAAGCATATGAATTTGATTGGTCATGAGTAAAGACTCATTTTGCACGCTTGAGAAAACATCGCATCGCCGCTCAGAAACACCGAGGTGGCCACCGGCATTGTCCGCGCTTATATAGCATCGAATATAAACATGTATATTTGTGTGAGGTAATTTATTATGATTTAAATTATTTGATATCTTCCGAACGCTTTCTTCGTTGTTCTTAGATAAGTCGCTCGTTTCTGTACGGATAAAATGGTTTACTTTCGAGTGCAACTTTAACATACCATTAGCCAATTTCTCAGTGGCTCCGAAACGAGTTTACGACGACTGTTGATATTATTTTAAAACCTGTTTACATTGGCACAGCCTACGTTTTCCAATTCGAGTAATTTGGTTATTTTATACATATTTTAACCTTCTTTGGCGGCTTCATACAGAAGCGTTTTTTTTTTTTTTCAGATAGAGTGGTACCACTATGACAATTTGATTTGGCCTTAGAAGGTGGCTTGCATAGAGTACGCACAACTCGATTGTAAATGTTATTTCAGAGAAATAAGGTTGAAATTCTGATCTTCCAAGATATGTCGATGGCCTATCGGTTCACCTAGCACTCCACAACTGGAATCGGAAAATATGTTCAGAATCACTAGAACACTACTATACTGAAATAGACTATTTTTTCATTAGTCTAAAGTGTAGACGCAGTCGATCTCATGTTGAAGTACGGATACGTTAGTCTGGTCAACCATAGCTCAACAACACCTTTACAATCTAAA